ATTCTATAACATTTATAAGTTCCTGAATATTCTGAAACAATTATGAAATAGTCCAAACTTATGGTATAAAAAAAATCATACTACATATACGTACTATACATACTGTACTACTGTATGTACTGTACTATTGTATGACTGTATACTAAAAAAATATGAGTATCATATAAATGGCACATCACTAGCTTTGCACATAAAATTTTTTGTGCACAACTAATTTTGGTTCTGAATTTTTCCCTGATAAGGTATTTTTCACCAAGATAATGTGACTCCTTACAAATATTAGAAAGCTAAGAATGTTTTCAAAAATGTTAATATTCTTGTATTAAAATGGCCTGCTCAAAGTCCAGACCTTAATCTGATAGAGAACCTTTGGCAAGAGGTTGAAACACATTTACGCAGTTCTCCAGACTTACCTACAAGCATTGAGGACTTGAAAATTAAAGTTAAAGCTGCCTGGTATTTGATTCCACCTAAATGTTATCACAAGTTATCTAATAGTATGATTAGACAAGTAAAAGCATGTTATAGTGCTGATGGTGGGCCAATTGATTTCTGAATTGTATTGTAATTGCTAATGCTATGCTACATATATACAAAATATTAGTCTATTTAAAAAAAAACAAAAAAAAATTGATCACAAAGTATTTTATTTACTCAACTTACATAAAAATCAATGACAACTAAATGCGATCTATCTACTAGTCCTAATAATTTTTATAAATATATTTTAGTTATCTGTTCTTAAACCACTTAATTCGTATTATCTTAGTTATAATTTATATATTAGATAAAAAAGGTATTTACAATTTATAATATTAAGATCTTATTATATTATTAACTTTTGACATACTATAGTTAAAATATAAAGTTTATTTATTTTATTTTTATTTTTTAGAATTTATATTTTTTCACTACTCCTTGTGTAATATATGCATTCGATCATCAGCTTTTAATTATTTATTATACAGTTCTAAATATTTTATTTGTCTTATATACTGCCCTCTTGACTTCCCTCAGAATTTGGTATGACAAAAATGCTAAGCATGTGAACTACTAAAGGCAGCAATTCAAATAGATATATGGAAGTGTAAAAAAATTTAAAATTTGCTAATAACAACTCAAATAGACAACTAATGTTCAATTCTGTTACAGAAATAGCATATAGCTAAAATAAAAAAAAAATCATTTGATTGATATTGAAAAGCTGCTGAAATGGGAATTCGTATAAACATTTTAATGTTAAATTTTGTTACATAAATGGCATAGGTACAGGCAAGTATAACAAAGAAAATTTGCATAGATATAGGCAAGTATAACAAAGGAAATTTACTAGTACTTGAAATCTGTTAGTGGCAATTTGAATAGACAGGCTAATGTTGAATTCTATTGGATTCTTTTACAAAAATGGCATAAATACAATCAAGGTTAAAAAAAAGGCATATTTAAAATTTGCTGAAAGAAGAATTTTGCTAGACAAGTTAATATTAGATTTTGCTACGGAAACAGCATAGATACAGCCAAGATTAAAAAAAACATTTAAATTAGGTAATTAATAGCTTTACTACTGTTTATATAAATTTTTGTAATATTACATCTTCAACTTGATTGCATATAATACAGAATGAAGCTGTCAAAGTTCTCAAAGGATATTCGAATTATGTCTTTTGCACTAATTACAGTCCACAATCTAGTTTGATTGTGTCTAGTTATTTTGACTAAAGTTTAAGAATCTGGGATTTCAGAAATGGTATAATTATACAAATCATATTATGTACTAAGTAATTATTGACATTAATTAATTTACATGGTAGTACTCATTCTGACCTAGTTTTAGCAATTGAGACAGAACAATGATTGTATCATGTAGTTATAATGGTCTAATGTAAGAAAGTTTAGTACAATAATTATATATATGTTCTATGTTATATTAATCTGAGCTTTAGATTTATATAATTAAATTTGGGACACTGCAACAGGTCAATGCCTAAAAACATTAGTAGATGATAATAACTCTCTAGTATAAATTGATAAAACATTATTGTTTTTAATATATAAAACTAGTTGATATATTATATGCTTACCTACAATGGTTTTTTTTTAGATTATATATTAAATTCTCACCTAATGGTAAATACTACTAAAATAGCAATTTGGATGGACAAGTTAGTGATAGATTCTGCTACAGAAATGCATAGGCATGGGCAAGAATGAAAAAAAGGAACTTGAATAGTATTTGGAATTCACTGATGTCAACATGAATAGACAAACTAATGTTGAATATTAAATTTCAATGCTTTGAAAAATGGTTGTAACTTAAAATTTGCCCCTTACTGCGCATTAATAAAAAATATTTTTTATGAAATTTTGATATTAATGTGATCTTAAATGTTTAACTAATTTCAAAAATAGAGCTATAATCTAGTGATGAAGTTATTGGACAAAATTTTTAAATTAATAATCATTAGAACTTTATTTATAATTAAACCAACAAAAAATTATTATTATTCGTGTTCACAAAGTCGATCTCGTTCTGATAATATTATTTTTAAACTTGTATTAAAGCTGGTTTTTTTTTATTGACCTGTAAAGCTATTTTTTAATA